TATTGAACAGTTAGCTTAAAGTTACAGTTGGAGGTTTTTACTAACCAGCTAGGGTAAACAAATGTGGACTTATTAAGTGTGTATGTTTCTCCTCTTTTGCAGAAGCTAGCTGTCTCCTCACACTTCAGCCCCTGGCGCAAAGCTAATACAGTCCAGTCTGTCCATGAAACAGACATCAACCCTCCATCAAACTAACCTCAAAATGTAACAGAGCATTACTGAGAGATTAGTTTAGTTACTACATTTTAAATTTGAATCCTGGTAACACTTTACTTTCCATATTTAGCAATAATAATACAAACATTTATTGTAATTAATGGTTTGCAGTTTATAACACACTAATGTAACTTAGTTGTAGGCAGCTGAAAGGACATTTTAATATTGATGTGCAGTATAACATCTCTCATAAAGACGTCTGATATTGTCATTCCATAGGCCTGTCTGTTTATACACCAGTATCCCCTTATGGAGGAGTTATAAAAGCTAGCTAGTTATTGGCAAATACATCAGTAAACATATATCTGCTTACAACTGCATTATAGTGTGAAATAAACATTTTATTCAATGTTTATACTGTTTATGAAGGCTAAATAGGGGACTTAAAGTAAGGTGTTGTCTCCATCTCTCATAGTACTTGTGCAATGACGTTCACATACAGTTGTTCTGAAAAAGGCTGCTGGTTAAAAGGAACAAGAGATACTAGAGTATAACAGATAACAGCATACCAAATAACCTGTTTGAGGAACTTACATTGCATCAATGTGTGTTCAGCAGATACTGGGCATCTTCCTCAAACTTCTGAGAACTACAGAAGAGCAAGTTTATACGGTACTCATTGCAAAAACTCCTTCAAACAGGATTATTTGGTGTTCTGTTATTCCCTGTGAGTTATTGCTCCATTTCCTCTCATTACATTATGTATTTGATGCCCATATTATACAAGCATAACCCTCTAACATGGTTTTTTTTCCCACTTTGATCTGAGGATTATTTATTGGTCAGCATGAAGGCTTGAGCAGATACAAAACGTATTAAAATCCTCGTTATGCAACATCACTGCATGTCTAGATCTGGGGTGGGAGCTTAGGATGCTGCCTTCAAGTTTCTCAGTGAATTTTAAAGAAACTTTTTTGGGGGGTGGGGGAGGATTCAAAGTCTAGTAACATGTTTGCTTTGAGGTTCTGCTTGAAGGAAAACATATCTGCAAACATGAATGAGATACATGTGGTTAGTGTTGATTATGATGGATCTGTTTTTCTGAAGCCTGCAGTCAGCAGCCTGATAAAAAGTTAATTTGTGAGTGAATTTATGCTTTGTTTTGCCTTCTCGGTTCTCCTGTACTGCCTAGATTAGATCTATTTGAACCAGCTTCCTGTGTTTCCTGTGTGCCTGGCTGGTGTGTAATATATGATTCATGGCTCTCGGTGCAAAGCCTTCATATCTCTGATGGCTGTGTGCGCGTTTGTGTATAAATGTACATCTGTGTGCATGCATATGTGTGTTTAGACGGGGAGGGGGGTGGGGAGGGTGGCTAACATTGTTCCTCATTGGCTGAAATATTTTTCTGTGGCAAATAGAAAACGTGATCCTGCCTGCAGAGGCACTGCAGTGTGTGCTGCAGCGGGAGAGAGCAACGAGAGAGAAAGAGAGGGAGTGTGTGTGTATGAAAGAGAGAGAGAGCGCGAGAGAGAGAGAGAGAGAGAGCGAGAGAGAGAGATAGGGGGGTGGGCATGCAAAATAAGCCACATGCATAAGAAGGGAGCCAAAGGCACAGAGACAGAGAGGGAAAGAGTGTGAGTGTGCATGTAAGTGTGAAAACACTGCGCATGTGTGACTGTGAGGCGCACTGACTGGAACAGACGGAGAAGGAGAAAGAGGAGTAATGAACGGCAGCTGAGACGAGAGGAGAGATAACAGCAGAGGAGAGGGAAACGAAGGAGAAGAGAGGTTTAACCTGAAGACTAGACGAAAGGAAGGAAGGAAGAGAAGGGGAACCTACACGCAGAGAAACACAGCAAAGAAGCTCAGGTCACTGCACAGAATAAGCTGAATAATTTGAGAGGCTTGGGAAGAAGGATGGAGAAAGAGAGACCAGAGGGAGACACTCAGCCACAGCTCGGAGGAGAAGGAGCAAGGGTGGGAGAGTGAAAGACAAAGGTACCAGAGAGGAGAGGAGAAGAGGAGCGAGGGATGCGGAGCTCGACGAAAAAGCAGCCAGAGACATGACGCATCCACCTTGCAACAGCTTCCTCCATCTTACATCTCCTCCATGTTTTCCTTCCTTCGTTGCTGCTCGTTGTTCGTCCTGCTAGAGTCAAATGGACAGGAGAGAGCGTCCTCCCTCTGGTGAGACATCCACTGAACAAAGAGACTGAGTGGCTCGGTTTTACCTTCACAGAACAGCATCAACACCGTCGACAGCAACAACTAGAACAGGAGAGAGAAGGCGAGAAAGGACTGAAACAAGAGAAGTGCGTAGGCAGACAGGTGAGCATGAGAAAAGGCTTTGCATGTGTTTCATAGAGGAGATACTGAGCTTTTTCTGTGTGTTCATTTTCATAGTTTGTACCTGTATGTTTCAGATCCGTGAGGTGGGGCTGCCTCGTGGGGTTTCATACTAACGTTCCTTCCGTTGTAGCTCTCTTTTGTGCGGGAATCAAATAGATAGAGGAGGTCTTTGCCTTTTTGCTTTGTTACGTTAAGCTGGGATTTACATGGTTGTTGCATCACGGCCATCCATTTTGGAGACACACACACATACACACACACACACACACACAAGGATGCATGAATGGAGACACAAATACATGCACCAAAACACACCTGCACACCTGCTTATCTGCACTGACTAGAAACTGGAAACTGTGAATAAGACCACGATAATGTGTGAGTTTTGGGTGTTGATGGTATCTTCAGGGTCTCATGTCTCCAGCGGTTATGACATTTCACAGACCTCTGCACAGACAGACAGTGGGGGCAGGAAGGAGGGGAGGGGGGGCGATAGGGACAGGGCAGGAACGGCCTGTTCTGTAGCTGTCAGCAGCTCTAAGGCATCTCCATATTGGCCATACATTGGCGCTGCAGTGAGAGTGCTGGGTACACCATGCTGCGATTGCATAACTGCTGCTCCTGAGCACACACCCCTCCCACATGCTAAAGCTGCTCCATCTCACACGCTCCAAAATATTTTGGCCACCTCGCCTCTATCTCGCAGTCCCTCCCGAGTCTCAGCTCACACGACATCAACAATGCCGTCCACCTTAACCCCCGTGCTGAGACAGCCCCCTGAAAGGCAAAATCAATCACCTTTATCAATCAAGCCTCTGTTGTTATTGAAGAGCTGGACATTTGCTGAACCTTTCCCTCATAAATCTTCTATGAGGTCTGTGTCAGGCAGAGTGATGATGGTTATTGCTTTTATTTTTCTGCCTGTGTGCAGCTCTGCCATGTTGCTGTGAGAGCTAGATAGACGAGAACAAAGAGCACTTGGCTGTAATGAATTGCGAGGCAAAATGGCCGATGTCTGCCATGAATGACAGCGGGCTGAATTATTAAAAACAACACCTCACTAAGCACTTTTTTCCACCGTACAGCATAATTACAGCTCGATGAACTGGCTGTAAATGTAAGAATTAAAGTCAAACATCATATCTGGAGCTGAATCCTGGGAGAAATAGCCACATGTATTTAAATCTTGGTATTTACTTTACGTTAGCCTGACTGTATGTTTTTTGTGAATGATGAACTGATTCCTCATTCCAAAATGATTGTAAACAGAAGCCCATTGGGAAAGGCCTGACATTTAAAATCAATAATTATACAAAAAGGAAATCATTTCAATTTAATTACATGTTCTGGCTGCACTAGGGACATAAAAACAAGCTAAAGACCAAGTTGCATCTGTCATCTGCATTTATGCAAGACCACACTTCATATACTTTTCAAATGGTAAAATATGCCACAAAAGCAAATCCTCCTGTATTAAAATCATTCACAATTCTTCACTCAATCCCCTCAAGCGCTATGATTTCCAGAGAGAGGCTGCAGCCAGCTAACATACAGTAAATCTGAGGATTTGTCCTCAGATCACGCTAAGGTCATGACATGTTACGTAACCAAAACAACAACATAATACCCCATGCGGGTCCGAGGAGACATGCGGCGCGTCTTTTTCACCAGCCAAAGCATGAATGTGGATACACATCTCAACATAGCTGGCATACCTGACATACTGCTGGTTTGTGGTGTAGAGGCACAAAGACCAGCACCGTCTGCTCTGGCCAGGCCGACAGACCGCTCACATATAGACAAGGATGGATGGATGGTGGATAGAGGGAGGGTTGGATAGCTAGAGACAGATTTCCATTGAGAGAAAAGAGAGAGAGACAGGCAGGGAGACAGACTGATGCAGGGACTCTATGACTCATCCAGAACATGGTGCCCTTCTCCTGCTCTCCGATCAGCACAGGTGGAATCTATCCAGTCTGATCATGAGGACCCCGAGCTGTGTGTGTGTGTGTGTGTGTGTGTGTGTGTGTGTGTAATGAAGGAATAAAGTGGGAGTGTGAGAGGATAAGGAATGTTCAGGCGAGCGGTTGGAGCTGTGTGTGTGTGTTTCTCCTCTCCCCGACAGATGTGGGTTTGTGTCAGTTTAAATCAGTCCAGAGATAAATCTAGCATGATATACACGAATTATATAAAAATATTCCTTTTATGGATTCCTATGCTGTATCTGTTTGTTTGTGTGTCCACCTGGTAAATGTAAGGGTGGTGCCGTGGTACGTGACCGGGGAAGTACGTCTGAGGGCGAAGAAATGTTCTAGGATAATGTGTGTTGTGACTTCATACCTGTGGTAAATGCAAGCTCTGTGTGTTTATTGGTTTTGAGGAATTTTGCTGCTGAGACAGACTGCCTGAATCTCCTGTGGTCAGCTTTCTCCTCTTCCTCCTGCTTTGCTTGGGATGACGAGGTCAAATGCCTGCCAATAGATTTCATTAAGTGGTGAATAATGTCCTCTGCACGGGAAAGGGGATCCAAGAGCTATGTATACACACAGCCAACTGTTCAAAGACTGTGGGAAGACGCTGCAGCACCGATAGTTAAATGATGGTGGCTAGGTGCGGAGATGAGCTCGCTTACATAACGCGGAAGAGGGGGGCTCTGTCGATTAGGAAGCAGGCTGGCAAAGCTGGCCCATCAGCAGGCGAGGGCCTGCAATGCAGTTATCAGCCTTTTTCATAAAGCACGTGTCACCAAATCTAGAGGGTAAATTTTAGCTGCTTCATCTCCTCCCAATGGCTCAAAGGGCTGCCTTGTGCGAGCCTTGGATTGCTTTATAAACTGCACCCCTGCCCACGACAGGCGGACATGTTTTTCATCAAGCTGTTATTATGCCACCAATGTGTCTAGAGCATATATCTGTGAACAGGGAAGCTGATTATTTGAATTTTCTAACCAATAGCCTAACTGATGATTATGTACTCCAGCTAATAGTCTTCCATGTTTGTATTTACATGAACATAAAGATAATGAGATTTTTTGAATGCGTTAAATTTGTTTTTTATTCTGACACTCGGAACACCAGTTTCCGAATTAGCCACAGAACGATATTTTCGTGTTACCTATTGGCCCCATAATAAACGACCAATTACAGATATCATTCTGCGATAGCTAATATTAGGCGAATTTATTGGTTGAGCTCCCCTTAATTTTAAAAATAATTACACTCATTGCACAGTATACCATGGTATGGAGGCTGGGAAACATGCCACTCTAGCATACTGTAGTGATCATTTCATTCCAAAACATGCAGATTTTATTTCTGAGTTTTTTCTGAGGTACTAAATAGGCAACATTGCTGGATTATCTTTATATGTTGGTTTTCTTAAGGCATGACACTTTTTTTTTAGGCAAAATAAGTAAAAAACTTAACTCAATATTCAGATGTTCAATAACATAAAGCGGAATTTTGTCTTAAAATATTGTAAAAAAAGTGGCAATATTATTATTATTTATAAACCAGTAAATATCTGGTCTGGAATAAATAAAAACAAAAGATTAATTAAAGAATCTGGCTCACCAGCATGTGGTCTTTTTTTTAGAATACCAGTGTTACAGACATTTTATTTTATATCTGCCCATAAATTATGAGCAATATGATCAACATGATTGTCTACTACTGTTTTTTCATGAATGTCTAAATGAATGATTTCAGACCATTGAACTTAAAAACAAAAGTAGCTGGCTAATTCTTTAAAGGTTACTTTTACATTTTTTGTGAAGCGGTTGTCTCAAATGATAACGGTTCATTGTATTGGAATATCATTTGATTATTCTTATGTGATTTTGAATATATTTGCCATTATAGTATCATAGTGCCATAAAAAAGTTGGATTTTTTTAGCATACAGACTGAATTACTACGTTATATGTTTTTTAAAAAAAGCGACTTTTAAAAGATTTTGTAAAAAAATGATTGCTGTCAAATGCAGCACCCTATAAGACATCATTATCATCTCATGATGATGTGTTTCCCAAAATGTCTTTGGCTTAAAGATGTTATAAAAAGCCGCCAAACATCGCCTCCCTTACAACATAAATCACATCATCAAGGTGTTTGGACTGGAAATAACAGTGTTTTATTTTTGATTGTAAACACCCCAGCTTGTGTATGAAATGCAACACTGCCGTTTGCCACCGGAGGAGTTGAAGACAGACAGCAGAGGCTACATTTTATTGTAGGAGCAGTATCGCCAGCCACTCAGTGGCTGGAGGACAGCATTTGGCTAAGGTTTGTGAATGATTTTGAGGCTAAACAGTCGTTTGTATTTG